AATATAAGCATATACATACACATATTTTTAAAAGCCAAATCGACAACTACACAATACAATTATATAATTTTGGTCGAATGTATCTATGTGTATACATGATTTTCAATAAATTTATATTCTTTATTTGTAAATTTATATTATACACAAATATTTGAAATTAATTTTTATCTTTTGTAAATCTAATTTTACCATAAGACTTGGTGATCAGTACTTGCGTGTGTGTGTGTGTGTGTGTGTATGTATGCATGTGTTTTTATAATTGATTTCGTATTTAAAATACCTAAAACCATGAATTTATTTTGCAAACACTACTCGTAATAAATGTGTAAACGAAAAAATTTAAATAACTTTTTTTATTTTTTTTTCTTAATTTGACTGCGCTCGCAGTAAAGTATTTTTCAGCATTTTCTCTAATTTTTTTTTAATTTTTTTTATGTTATTGGTTATTTTTTCATGTAAATTATCTAAAACAAGCCGTGCTCCCCATAAAAGAGGAACTACCCCTAAGTTGTCAAAAAAACTTGCAATAAAAACTTACAGCTCCTCAATTCGATCAGTCAAAATAAATTTTAATTTCCTATATGCAATAATCAGTATTTGCTTTATTCATTTAAATATTTATTTATATTTATTATTTTTGAAATTTTAATTCTCTATCAATTTTCATTTTCTAAACACTAGATCCGTATATATATATATTTTTTTTTTAATATACACTAATGCTATTTTTGTGATCGTCACACTAATTTATGGTGTTGGTTAACAGTTAGGATCACTTGCCGTTAAATGCTGAAATTTCTATTAAATATATTTATTTCTTTAGTACAATAAATTACAATGCAGATCAATGCAATCAGATTCCATTTTACATAAATATCTTTGGCTTATTTATTTATGTATGTAATTATTGGTCAGCAATTTTTTGTCTATTTGCTAAATTCTAAACTTTTTAAGCAAACTTTTTACAGCAAATTTAAAATATTTTTTTTTTTCAAATCTTCACTTATATGTACTATAGTTTTAGTAATCTCTAGAAATTTTTGGCTCACAATCAATTTGTAAAAATCTTTATTTCGCGCTTTGCCCTTTTTCGTTTCAATCAGTTCTACAGAGTCACACAACTTTCTCTTTGCTTGGTTGTCTTAGAAAATATTAGCTTCTTTCGTGTTTTAAAAAATATTTGTTGTAATCAGTTGTTTCAGTTGTTTTCTGATTCCATATACTACACACGTAAATATGTAGCTTTTCCCAAAAAACCTTAACTTAATTATTTTTATTTGCATTTGTTCATTTTTTGGCATATTTTTCTTTGTGTTTGTTTTGGCAGCAAAGTTAGTCCTTCTGACGCTCTGACAACACTTTTCCTTGCCCAAGTTTCTTGCTTGATTCATTTGCTTTTATTCAAGATAGTAGCTGAAACTGCGCTTTCGCTTACTCCCAATTGTTTTCAACTTTAGTTACCCAGATTTGATCCAACGATCGATGGAATATTCAAGAGCCGAGATCCATCTAAAATGAAGCAGAAATTATTTTCATTAGGCAATGTTTTTTAATCAAAATGGAGAGCAGCTGAAAACTGGGCCTAAGCCATTCATTTCTGTAGGTCTAAATATAGTTGTGGCATATGCAGTTCGGTAAAGGGAAATTCATCGTCTTCTTCTTGTATGAGATGCTCCAAAAGATTTGAGAAAATTCAAACCTAAATGCTGCTATAGTGTCAAACTATCTGGGACGTAGGCTTAGAAAGAATGTTATGAAAAACAGCGATACGTTGACCGCAGAAGAGTAGGAAGCTTCATAGTAAGATTTCAGTCGGCAAAACTTCTTACCTCTTTAGATATCAAACTATCGTCTATGGTGTGGTATGACACCAACTAGTTCCAGACAAGTCAGAGATTGCAAGTTGATGCTGAGCTCTATACTGTAATCAATTCAGTGTTATGGTAGATAATATAATCGAAGTAACTACTATATAGTTTGAGGATAATTGGATTCAATCAAAATTGTATTTCTCTGGCTGCGTAGATGAAAACGAAGACGCCTAGGAATTGGGTAGAGAGGGCTCAACCTTTTCTTTAGTGGGATCAAAACCATTTTTGGATTTATTTGAGACTTATATTAACTGAGTGGGTAAACTGAAAGCGCCGTTAATACTTCAGAGCTGTAAGAACCCTAAAACAGGTCAGAATTTTTAGTTATCCTTTCGCTAAAAACAACAACAATTCCTTAAACAGAGTTGATATCAGATTACTCGCTGGTTATTTAACCGGTCATAGTCGACTGCGTTGTCATATAAATTGGTATGTGCACAAAGAACGAAATCCGACTTTGCCGCGAGGACTACGAGTCACCGGAGCACATTCACACTACATGTTACAGCGTTATCCAGGCAAATACAAATGCATTTTAATACGACTAAGACATTTAGTTTCTATTAGGGAAGCGGACCGGATAACTTGGGCTCTAAGTGTTAAGGATTTATTAATAAGGATACGAAATGCCATCTAGGCCCAGTGTTATTTTCTTCGCTATACCCGAAGTATAAACTAAATAGAGCTGAGGCTATTTCTTTTCTCAACCATTTCAAGTTTTTTCGAAAGTCGAAATTTTAATGCTCTCACAAGTTAGGATTTTTCTACACCGAAAAAATAATACCCCAGTTTTTTTTTTTTATTTTGAAATCAAAAAATAGTTAGAGGTTGCTCAAAGCGCTCAAGGTTGTATATAAAAAAAATTGTTCGTAGAAATGGTGTAGAATTCTTGAAAATCAGTATTTTTTGATCGGAAAACTTTGTTTCTCTTCAGAAGACCTAATAATAATACCCCATTTTTTATTTAAAATTTTTTTCAGTTATCTATTTTTTATGCATTTTTGGGGTTTTTAGGGGTCCTATAAAAGATAGTTAATATTAAAAAATAGTTAAATAAAGAATTGGTCTTCTGAAGAGAAATAAAGTTTTCGAAAAATATTGATTTTTCAAAATTCTAAACTAATTTTTTCCCCATATATATGGAAAACTTTGAGCGCTTTGGTCAACCTCTAAATATTTTTTGATCTCAAAATAAAAGGACA